GTGTGTGTGTGTGTGTGTGTGTGTGTGTGTGTGTGTGTGTGTCTCAGTCTCACCGTCATCTTGTTGTCCACCAGGTCCAGGACAGCCTGGTAGGGGATCTGCTCCAGCGGCAGACTGAGCAGCCAATCAGAGAGCGTCTCCATCAGCTTGACCACCGAGCCTCCACCTGGATACAGCTGCAGGTGCAGACCGGCCTCAGGTGAGTGTGTGGCTCTTAAAGCAACATTTCCTCCTTCAGACAGAGACCGAGCAGGACCAGCTACTTCCTGATCACATCTGTACGCGTCTGTTAGCAAAATATCTCATGACGTACAGGATGAACACACCTGATACTTCAGGTAACCTGATAACGAGCCTTTAACGGGTCACGGTCCAGATCTGTCTTCTGGTTCTGGTTTAGTTTTTCCAGCAGGACACGAGTCCTGGAGGACATGTGGACAGTAACAACAGGAAGTAGTGAAGTCGTTACCTTGGCAACCAAAGTGACAAAGTCCTTGAAGACCTTTAGCTCCTCCCCCTGAAGCGTGGCGTGGGCGGCGAGCTCGACTCTCAGCAGGTAGTGGAGCGCCGACTCCAGATCAGCTGTGTACACCCTGGACCTGCGGGGACACACAGGATAACAGGACCTGTCCAGATCTGACCCGAGGACACCTGCTGCGGCCCGGACCCTCACCTGTCGAAGTCCCTCCACGGCTCCGGGGTCTCCTTGTCCTGCAGCGTCCCCTTCTGAGTGAGCGCAGAGCTGCGGCGGCGCTGCACTCCCGGCAGGGTCCGGAGCAGAGAGGAGAAGAAGAAACGCTGAGGCTTCTCGCTGCAGGGGGACAAACAGGACCCGGTTAGGACCAGTTCTGGGTCTCACAGACAGACAGGTGTCTCCAGCAGGAAACAGGAAGTCACCTGTGCAGGTGTGCATGCTTCCCACTGGGGTGCAGCAAGTAGATGGAGGGAAAGGCTGCGATGTTCAGGGCGTCCAGCAAAGGGCGATCTGAGCTCAGCGCTCGTCTCACCTGCACACCTGAGAACTGCAACAGGTCCAGGATCACCTGGAACAAACACAGTTTTTATACGTTAGTGAGGACCGTCTGTGTCCAAGATCTGATCTTCAACAAGAAAAACCCTGACTGTGCAAAAAATAAAAAAATAAATAAATAAACACTACATCCTGTTTAGTCTCACAGGGACTGTAATTACTGTCGCACAGACGGGGACTGTTATTACTGTCGCACAGACGAGGACTGTTATTACCATTGCACAGATTGGGACTGTTATTACTGTCGCACAGATGGGGACTGTTATTACTGTCGCACAGATGGGGACTGTTATTACTGTCGCACAGATGGGGACTGTTATTACTGTCGCACAGAGGAGGACCGTTATTACTGTCGCACAGAGGAGGACCGTTATTACTGTCGCACAGACGGGGACTGTTATTACTGTCGCACAGACGGGGACTGTTATTACTGTCGCACAGACGGGGACTGTTATTACCGTCACACAGACAGGGACTGTTATTACCGTCGCACAGGCAGGGACTGTTATTACCGTCGCACAGACAGGGACTGTTCTTACTGTCGCACAGAGGAGGACCTTTATTACCGTCACACAGACAGGGACTGTTATAACCGTCGCACAGGCAGGGACTGTTATTACTGTCGCAGACAGGGACTGTTATTACGGTCGCACAGAGGAGGACTGTTATTACGGTCGCACAGAGGAGGACTGTTATTACGGTCGCACAGAGGAGGACTGTTATTACGGTCGCACAGAGGAGGACTGTTATTACTGTCGCACAGACGAGGACAGTTATCCCCAGGTGTGTTTATTTTTATGATCTGCTGTCAAACCGTTGGTTCGGTTCAGTTCTGACTCCAGGTGGACTGCACGGGTCCTGGGTTCTGGTCTCACCTCACGGCCGACATACGAGTCCGGTTCCTCCACGATGATGGCGGTGTAGTGCTCTGACCTTTGACCCAGCAGGGGGAGGAGCTCTGCAGAACTTCACACACACACACACACACACACACACACACACACACACACACACACACACACACACACACACACACACACACA